TTGGCCGTGAAGAGTGAGGATCGTGGTACGCTGACGACGAAATTTTCTCTGCATAGTCCAGTCCGTACCATCCTGGGTCTCTAGTTCTGCACAGGCTGCATTCCATCTGCTGTTTTGGAGTTCCGCGAGTGCGTTCTTCAGAGCTAGCGATGCTCTGTTTCGCGCAACTCTCGACTCCTCTGTCAACAGCTGGAGATATTCTCGCTTGAGTCTTCTGTTCTCCCTGATCAGGTGCCTAATATGGTGCGGTGCTGGACCATTAGGTGTCTAGGAACTGCCGTAGTCTCGCAGTGGGTGCTGTCCCGTGCGCTCGCAGGACAGCATTCTCTAGCTCCTCTACTGCGTTGTCCAGTTCCCTCCGCTGATCGGATGGTTGGAATTTGAGTGATATTCCTTTGGACGTTGGATTGTAGTAGTTCCAGTTCGTCCGTTTGGTGCTCAAGCTATCTCGAGTTGTAGACCCTGTGCCAAGTGTTAGTAGGATCGGATTGTGGTCCGACGATCCTTCCACCAGGGTCTCTATCTCGAACTCCTCTCTGTTGCGGAGGATGGCTATGTCCAGTACCGCAGATCGCCCATGCGCGTTCTATCGTAATGCCTAAACTTATAAAGGTGTAGTTTAGATTTTCGCCACTTGGCCGCATCACGCAAAACAATGGACGTGATTCGCCCCTGGAGGGTGCTGTGCTGGTCAACTCACCAGCAACGTGAGATTGTTGAGATAATGCACCGTCAGTCGATGCAATGGCCAAAGATTGAGAAGATGTGGTCGCTGCATCGACTGTCATAGGACAAGTGGCAGAAGTTGAACGTCTAATGAAGCAGACGGTTTTGAGGGCACTGTCAACTTGAATTTGGATTTTGTTTTTGGAAGAGGTGGGAAGTCGCCGCCTTGTCGGTTTTATTCGTTTTATCGCTGCGCCTTTTCCTAGACTTGGCCTGAATGAATCCGTCATTCTGTATTTCATCGTCGGTCGATGTCACGTTATCAGTCAAATTTTCAAGAGGTCTTTCTAAGTTGACAGCCTTGTCAGAATTGGAATTAAAGTTTGGGTTATTAATTAACCCTGTATCTGCCTTTGCGCGACACGTTATTGAAAAAATCTAATATTGCCACAGGTTATCAGTTATGACTTATAGATGACATAAGATATTATAAAAGTTGAAAATTAACCTGGGAAAATGACTTTAGAATTAGTTGCTTGCAAGCAACATTGCGAGATAAAGTGTAGGTTCAATTGTTACTTGCAAGCAACATTGACCGATAAAGGTAAACCTAATTGCACTGGTTTATATGGAAATACAACGATACATTTCAAATCATTTATTTATAAAACGAATATCAAGAAATAATCAAATATATTTTCTAGATTCACAAAATACAATGTGATGAAACAGCTAAATCTAATTGGAATGGAAAAGGTAGAAACAATTCTTATTTGGGGTGAAACAAACCCTAAGATTGCACTTGGTACAAAAGATTGTTGTAAATCCATTGGCACAGTGCCTGCATCTATATACCTTTTGTACCATAAGTTGGCCAATGACCTATGCCATCTTTTGGGTGGTGATATCAGGTCTCGGCAGTATAGGGTTTGATATTATTTTCGCAGGGGTTTTATTAGTCGAGGAATGGATGGTCTGCCACGAGAACTTTGTTTTCCTGCGTTGGCCAACGATTTGGCTAATTCGGAAACGGAACTCCTTTAGCGGTTTTGACGTTACACGTGCTGTGTTGCAGTCCTTTCTATACAGAAACCAGGCGTTGATCACTAACATATCAAGAACCCATGTGAAAATCGGGAAGTACCATCTTTTCGATCTGCTTGTACTGCGATACACACCAATGAATTGGCCTTATCGACACCGCCCATGTGCTTATTGTATTGCGTTATAACGGATGGACAAAGAATGGCAATTTTTTTTATTCCACTTTCGAATATATTTTTTTCGATTTTACGGGATTTAGGCCACCGAATGTACTTGCTAATAGAACACATTTATTGTCAGCCCATTTTACTACTATTAACCTTTGTCTGTATCTGCTTTATAAGCGTAGGAACCTCTTCCCCTTTTTTGAAGCACTTTATCGGTTTCAAGTTGTCATCCAGCTATTCTGTCAGACCTTATAGTTCCTAAACCAAGTATCCCTAATCGGTCTTTCAGATAAATAAATAATTTTACACTTGAAAACCAATTGTCACAGAATATAATAGTGTTTTTCGGTTCGCTTAGGGTTTTGCACAGAGAAATGACGGCGCTAGCACCTACACCTAGATTTATTTCATAATCATCTAACTCATTCGGAGATCATCTAAGCACTTCAAATGTCGCAACTCGCTGATAGGGTATGGAGTCGGCAATATTACTAGCAACCCCAGCACGAATGAAAAATTTAAACCCCCATTTGTGGGGTTTATTTTGGTTATACTGCCTCAAGTTGCCCGCATATGTGCCTTGTAAGACACCATTATTTCATCTATTGAGTATTGAATTTAAAACTGGAGTTTATAACAGTTCTTGAGTACAATTTCTAATAAGGGTCTAATTTTGAAATATCGATCCTTTGTCTGGTCTGTTATGTTAGTATTATCATTGAAATAAACCGTCTTGTTTCTGAAACCTCTTCAAGGTATTATATTGGCCACGTGATCTACTCTATACTAGCTGCCCAAAAATATTCTATGGCAGGAAGTTTTATTACACCATAATCAGTATAGATAGAAAATCCGTTATTTCTGACGGATTTATATCAATACATTGCCCAAGTTGCTGAGTACTATAAAGATTTGTCTGATAGACCATTATATCCATTAGATCAAATGAAAAAAACTTTGTAAAATACTCAATGGGAACTGCAATGTTGTCAGGTTCAGGAAGTCTGCTGAAGGTATGTTAGCAGAAACTATGTCGGCTTCAATCCAAGAATATGATTCTTGTGGTGGTGGCGGCTCAGTTTCATCGTCACTTTCTTCGAATTCAGAATTACTTTCTGGAACCAGCATGTCAAGTCCTGAAGGCACTTTTTCATCGTTAAGCTCATTTGTTTGGGAAATATTTCTCCGTCACTGAAATCATCGTCTGATCTGTGGGACTTATGATCGGTGCCTTCTTTTGCCGAAAAACATGTATGCTTATGGTTGGAAAATTATCCAGATCGGAAGACTGAAAAAGAAAACTAATTATTCTGGCAATGTTGCTTGAGAGATACATACTAAACAAAGTCATTTCCCTGCCTTATTTTCTGATCTATCGCTTAAATCATAAACATAAAGACTCAACCTTCTCTTATACCAACCAAGGCTAATAGAACATAAAACAAATGATCTTACCATTTGCAACTAAAATCTCAACTACAGATTCATACTTGCACCAAACACCTGTTCGACGCGCGGCAACCATATTGAAAGTTTTGACTCAACTTTTATAAACAGAGGTCGCTCATAATATTATACTAAGCGACATATAAATCCGAACACCCAGTTTAAATGGTTTTATTTTAATAAAATTTTGTATAAGTAGTTAATGAAGCATAATAAGTAAATGATAAAAATTTCAAAATGATTGCACAGCTTTAAAGCCTTTTGACCTTTAATAATATGTGGATGCACCCTGATGTGCTACGCATTCTCCAACGCGCCTAGGCATGCTTCTGATCAGGTGGTCAATGTGTTCCTGTGGTATCTCATTCCAGGCAACCACCAACTCCTCTCGAAGTGCTTCTAGAGTCTCAGGAGGACGTTGCAAATTGAGCAATCTCCTACCCATCATATCCCACACGTGCTCAATTGGGGATAAGTCGGGAGATCTTGGTGGCCATGGTAACAATGTGACATCATTATGTTGAACGAAGTCTATTGTGACTCTTGCAACACGTGGTCGGGCATTATCTTGTTGGAAAGATGGATCTGCCAGGGTGTCAAGATAGGGTAAAAGATGGCGTTCTAGAACTTCGTGGATATAACGCTGCGCGTTCATGTTACCTCTGATGAAGATTAAAGGTGACCTGGAACCATAAGATATAGCACCCTAAACCATAACTCCAACAGTGTGATGAACATGTCTTTCAACAAAAAACTGTGGATTCCTCCTTTCACCACGTCGCCTTCTAACCCTGGCACGACCATCGTGCATGCCTAAACAAAATCGAGACTCGTCACTAAAGACAATACTGTTCCATTCCTGATCCCAGAGTGACCGTTGTCTGCACCACTCAAGGCGATTACGTCGGTGTTCTCGAGTTAAAGGGAGGACCCAGTGTGGCCGGTATGAAAACAAGCCAAAACTTCTCATTCGTCGGTAAACACTTCGCATGCCAATAGGTCTTCCGTGTTCTGCAAACCATTCATGTCCAATGGACCTGGTCGTGGAGAAACGGTCCCTTAAGGCCAATAATCTTAGGCGGCGATCTTCACGGTCTGTTGTTCTACGGCGGCGTCCAGTGCCCCTTGCTCTTTACGTACGGCCTTCTCGAAGCCATGCCTGACAACACCTAACCACAGTGTCTACACTTCTTTGCACTCTAACTGCAATTGCCCGAAAAGAAAGTCCAGCTTCCCGAAGTCCCACTATGCGTAAGCAGTTTTTTATTCAAATTTTCAAGAATGAAACATCTAAAGTTAATCATATACATCTAAAATGGAGGAATCTTCTGAAACATTTGTCATATTTGACGGTGGTGCACTAAACGGTTCACTAGATAAATACTCAGTGCTGTTTATCATGGGTTGGGTTTCTCTAGGAACAGTAGAATATCCAGGGTGATAACTTTGTCCCGACGACGATTCTGTTTGTGACCAGTAGTTTTGACGGTATAATGTACTATCATCAATGTTGAGCACAGGGCGGGTTGCTTCATCAAGAATTGACATTATTTTCATTTTAGTTGCCATTTTTTTTTGAGGAGGCACGTTTTTTGAGGTGCTAACTAAAGACAGCATGAATAACCTGTCGTCATCTTGATTCTCAACCTCATATTGTTCTCTACTTTTGATGGATTTTTTAAGGGCTTCTAAAAATTTGTCATCTTCAGGTGCATTATTCTTTTTGGTTTTCATTCTTTTCGGACAACTTAAAGCTTGACTGCCTTGTTGCAAGTCTTGTTCAGTATCAGGATTTGTAGCTTCAACATCAGGATCTGACTCTTTTGATTTTTCTTCGACCTCAGACTCTCTTAACGCGACCACCTTCTGGAGAAAAAGCAGTTGCTTGAAAAATATATATTCGCTTTTACGTGGTCTACGACCAGACCCAGACTTCCAAGATTTTTGCCGGTTCAGCTCTCGTGTGAAGCAACCACGAATACTTTTCCACCTTTTTTGCAAAGTATCAGCTGAAAAAAATGAATAAGTTTAGTATATCCATTCATCAATCAATCAGTCAGCCTATTGCAGTCCAATAATGATGTTATATTTTCTTTTAGGTATTTTGCGTCAGGATGTTCACTCATGGAACTTTACTACAACTACAGACTCGGTCATACAACAATTTGCACAATAATTAGAGAAGTATGTAGCGTTATATGTCAATATCAGGAACAGTTTATAGGTCTTCCAAAGACAGAAAATGATTGGGAAAAAGTTGCAAGAGGATTTGAAACAATCGCAAACTTCCCTCATTGCATCGGCGCCATTGACGGGAAACACATGAGAGTAATAAAACCGATGCATACTGGATCACTATATTTCAACTACAAGCATTATTTTTCAATTGTACTACTTGCTCTGTGTGACGCTAATTGCAATTTTCTTTATATAGACGTTGGAGCGTATGGAAAAAGCAGCGATTCAGCAATTTACGAGTATAAAGATAGTGCTTTATATAATAATCTCATTAACCAATCTTTACCTGTTCCTGCGGCAAACCCATTGACAGAAAACGGTGACAATGTTCCATACGTAATAGTGGGAGATGAAGCTTTTGCGTTACATGAAAAACTCGTGAGACCATATGGAGGATACAATCTTAGTTACAAGCAAAAAATATTCAACTACCGATTATCAAGAGCACGCCGATATATCGAATGTACTCGTACATTTGGGATTTTATCTAACAAGTGGAGGATTTTTCACAAGCCCATGAATGTACATATAGATTTGGCAAAAGCGATTGTAAGGACATGTTGCATATTGCACAATTTTGTACGTTCAAGAGATGGCTATTCTTACGAAGATACTCTAACGGTAACAGGACTTGAACCAGGTACAAGTCGAAATCGCGATAGAGGAGGAAGAACGGCACTCACAGTTAGAGACAAATTAGCAGATTATTTTGTTACTGAAAATCCATTACCATGGCAAGACAAGTATGTATAAATGAAAGTTAATAAATGTACCGACATTTACTCACCTAGTTGTTTTTTTTCTTGGTTTGTCATTTCGTCTTTTTCTTTAAATATGTTTACTATTTCGTCCCAACCTTTAATTTTCAAGTTACGGTCGCAATAATCATTTGATGAACTATCCCATAAGCAAGGCCGGTTTTGAATTCCTATTATAAATTTTTCAGTATCGAAACTCATTTTTCACATCAACTATCAACTACTATTCCGAGCGAGCGTCCAAAGTGGCGGCTGACTGGCGACTGAGTGAGCGAGGTACAGCTAACATGTGTACAATATGATGGCAACGACGCCACGGCGCCAGAGTAGCCAGTCGCCACGTAGGGAGCTGTAGTTTGTGGCCACGCTTCCATCTTGGCGACGTCGCCACACCGTCGCCAAGTGAGTTAGAGCCGGTCCACACGGCGCGTTGCGTTGCGTTGCGTCGTCGCAACGCAAATATTTTGACGCATAGCCGGCCACACAGGCGCTGCGCCATCACAGCGTTACTGTGACGCAGTCTTAACGTTCCGTCGGCGCAGCGACGACGCACAGGTGCGGCAAGCATTTTGTAAAAATATCGCAGTCAGTCTATAGGAAAGCATGGATCGGAAAAGACGTCTAGCATTGCTCCTATTACTGCGTCACCGCCGAAATCGACGCAAGATCACAAGACGGTATTGGGTCTGTCCTTTCATTGCATTAAGAAATAGTGATGGACAGTTTTTTTTGTTAGAATATCGGGAGCTGCTATTAGACGAAAAGAAGTTTTATAACTTTTTTAGAATGAGTGTATCCAGCTTCGAATGTTTATTGAAGTCCGTAGAACCACACATATGAAAAAACTATACTAATATGAGGAATCCAGTGGAACCAGTAGAAATGCTGGGAATTACTTTAAGGTAATAATTTATATAAGTAATTAAAAGATAACAGTTTTTGTAATTTGTTTAATTAGTAATCAACTCAAGTTTACAGATTATTTAAGAGGGACTTAATCCAGTAATTACAAATTACAAAAATCGTATTCGGTTTCTTCACTTGCTTGAGATGTTTGATCTGGAGATGTAATTGAATTATTATTATCAGAATTGAATGTACTTTGAAAATTGCTTGTTTGATACCCATATGATAATGGTTGGTGAGACGTTGATGGGCCACTCACATATGATGATGTTTGTCCATACCGCATTTCGTCTATCATTTGTATTACTTGACTTTGGAAACGGAGAGTTTGTCGGTCGGAAAAATCTTGAATTGATGGCAATATACCTCTGAAAAAGGACATATGGCGATTATCCGGCTCCTTGAGAAGTTTTAGCCCTTCTCTTTCAAACTCATCCATTTGCATTGCCCTTTTGCGCGCGACTGGAACATAGCGCGGAGAGTCGTCTGTGGTAATATCATCATTTGTAGACGTAGATTCATTGTTGATTTCTCTAGGCGAGTCTAAGCTAGATTCGGTGGCATTTTGTTCCACTCTTCTCAAAAAAAGAAGTTGATTATATAAATGATACTTTTTCAGTTTCGTAGCGCCCGAGCCCGATTTTGATGCTTCTTTTAATTTTTTTGAATATCTGAAGTAATTATCTTTTACACTTCTCCATTTCGTCATTAAATCATTACCTGCAAAACCAATAGTAAACATGATTTAATAAGTTATACATCGTGAATTACTCGATAAAATTTAATGACATATTCAGATATCGATAACAAACACTATGTGACCAACTCTGGAATCGTGAAAATATAACAGCTGTTACATACAAAAATCAATACCTACTGAATCAAAATGTATGCAACAGCTGTTATTTTTTTCGTGATTGCAGAATTAATTGTTCACGTAGAGAAAGTTGTTTGTTATCGATGTCTGAATATGTCAGTATTTTTTTTTCGGGTATCTATCTATCTCATAAATGCATATTAAAATAATTATTTTCGTTTCAGATACCTAGGAAGTGGAAATTCAATAACCGATTTACAAACGGGGAAAATCTACTATTGCATATATGATACAAAGAGTTTGTCGTGCTATCTGGACCAATCTTCTTCGAGACAACATCCCTGAACTGACAATTGAAAGTTTCCAAACAATAGCGAGGGATTTTGATGTAAAGGCAAATTTTCCTCACTGTGTTGGTGCCATCGACGGCAAACACATCCGTGTGTGTAATCCTTCACATAGTGGCTCACTTTTTTATAATTATAAAGCCTTTTTTTCGATTGTGTTGCTAGCTATTGTGGATTCAAATTACAAATTCGTTTTTGTCGACATCGGTGCATACGGAAAAGAATGCGATTCAACCATATTACTAAATTCTAAACTGTACGAGCTAATGATTAACAACAACTTACCACTACCTCAACCCCAGCCACTCTCTGGTAGCAATATACCAACCTCGTATGTATTTGTGGGTGACGAAGCTTTTGGACTGAGCAAACATATTATGCGTCCATATGGTGGTAAAAATCTTGACTTACAACAAAAGGTTTTCAATTATCGTCTAAGCAGGGCCAGAAGATATGTCGAATGCGCTTTTGGGATTATGGCAAACAAATGGCGCATTTTTCACAGACCGATAGACGTGTCCTATGACTTCGCTACTGACATAATAAAAGCATGTTGTGTACTACATAATTTTGTCGCTGATCGAGATGATTTTAGACAAAGAGATACATTTGCTATAAGTGTTGATGAATTTCTCCCAATACAACCCGCAGATGAAGAACAGACAGCACCGAATGTCATAAGACAGCATTTTGCGACCTATTTTATGACTAGAGGAACTCTGCCTTGGCAACTAAAGAAGGTATAATAGTATTAAATAAAAAAACAATAAATATCTGTACTGTGAACTCACCAACTTTGTTTTTTCGTTCAGCTGTGAAATTCTCGTAATCAGGAAATAAAACTTTTGATATTTCTTCCCAGGCTTTTGTTTTTAAATTTTTATTTTTAAAATCTACGTTTGACTTGTCCCATATAATTTCCCTTTCCTGAATCAATGTTATGAAGTAATCCATGTCAATTTCTTCAATGTAATTCATTTTATCCTGCTTATAAAACTGAATACAAAAACGTAACGTACTTAAAATGAAATGAGCTTGCGTGTATCCTCTCTGTCAACGCACAAGCAACTGAGCGCTGCCGTTCCGACGTCGCACGAGTACACCCCCTCCCGCTTCGTCTCGGGGGCTGCTGTCCGTCATGTGTGCGTTGCGACGACGCAGCGCGCCGTGTGAACACCTTGGTTATTGGCATTGGCAAGGACAGCGCTGCGTCGACGCAACGCTGACGCAACGCGCCGTGTGGACCGGCTCTTAGGTACCATACATTCCAATATGAACTGTTTGGATACGTAACCGGCGACGTCGCCATGGCGTCCCAATGAGGCAGAGCTCTAACATCAGATTGCTCAACAATTTTGAGTCTTTCATCTAACGGCATTTCATCTAATAAATCAAATAAAGGTAAATTATCTTCATTCAAGATTTCATCAAGTTCTTGGGTTGTTAATTCTTCTACAGAATCTACTTGTGGTAAAATGGATAAAAGATCGTCATCCTCTAAAGCGTTAATTTCAATTCTACTAAGTGCATCGGCTACAACATTGTCTTTGCCTTTTTTATATTTAATTGAAAAATTATATTCTTCTAACTGAAGCTTCCATCTAATCAATCGCTGATTGGGCACTGATAAAGAACTCAACCAAACTAGGGGCTTGTGATCATATTCGATTAGAAAATTTTGACCAAATAAATAAGGACGGAATTTTTTACAAGAATCAACTATTGCCAATAGTTCTTTTTCAATAACGCTGTAATTGCGTTCAGCAGAATTTAATGTTCTAGAGTGGAAAGCAATAGGCTTATCATTTTGAATAAGAACTCCTGATAGGGCTATATTGCTACAATCAGTTGTCAATGTAAATTTTTTGGAAAAATCAGGATAAGCCAGCATAGGTGGGTTACAAAGAGCTTCTTTACAAGGTTTAAATGCATTGATATAATCTGGATTATTGATATTGATTTTTTCATCTTTACGTAAACATTTTGTGAATGGCTTAGTCAATTGTGCAAATCCTTTAATAAATTTACGATAATAGTTCATAAGACCTAAAAATGACTGGATTTCTTTAATCGTAGTCGGGAGAGGATATTCTTGAATTACTTTGATTTCATTTGGGTTTGGAAGTATGCCTTGTGGCGTGATTACATGGCCTAAGAATGGAACATCTTTTCTCAGGAACTCAGATTTGTCCAGTTGGATTTTTAAATTAAACTGATTCAGTTTTTGGAATATTTTTCGAAGATGCAAAATGTGTTCGTCTAGGGATTTTGAAAAAACAATGATATCATCCATATAGACAAAACAAAAAACGTTGATATATTCTAACAATACAGTGTTCATCATACGTTGAAAGGTAGCAGGGGCATTTTTTAACCCAAATGGCATACGGACATATTCATAGTGGCCATTTTCAACAGTAAAAGCCGTTTTTTCTATAGACTCAGGATCCATAAGGATCTGGTGGAACCCTTGTGCCAAATCAATAGTAGAAAAATACATGCTTTTGCCTAAATTTTCCAAAATTTCTTCAATTAGTGGGAGTGGAAATTTATCGTCAATTGTTATTTCATTCAGTTTTCTGAAATCAATAACCATCCTATATTTTTTAACACCGGATGCATCCATTTTCTGAGGAACTATCCAGCAGGGTGATTGATAGGGTGAATTGCTTTGTCGAATGATTCCATCATTCAATAACTTGGAAACTTGATTTTGGATTTCCTTTTTGGGATGATAAGGATATCGATAATTTTTTAACCTAATTTTGTGTGCAGTGGCATTACAGGGAGTTAATGGTTCGTTAGGCTTGAAAAATACCTGTTTGAATTGCTTGGAGAGCTTAATAAATTCTTTTTCTTCACTATTCATATGAGACGTACGAATTAAATTTTCAACACGTATATTGGATTTTTCAGTAGAAAATGGAGATTCTTTTTCAATTAGAAAATCATCAAGAGGTTCAGATAAAAATAGGTTGGAAATATCAAGAAGATTTATGTCAATTGGATATTGAATAGCATTATTTTCTACGTTACAGATACATTCAGGAAAATATTCGTCAGAATTTTTGAATTTCAAAGGTGGAATAACAACAGAACTATTATCCAAATTTCGGATATTTAATGATTTTTTCGGGTAACTATACTGAACTGGACTTTCACGAATTGGTTTAAAAGAAGTGTTATAAGTAATTTTACATTTATCAGTAATAATCTGATGTTTAGTCAAAACAATAGAGCAATTAAGCTTTTGTAAATCATGGAATCCTAATAAGCAGTCATAACGTGAATGCCAAGGAAGAATTAAAAATTCAATTTCAGTTTTATTCTTCCATTCAGAAAATATGGGAATTTTACAGGCATATTGACCTCTAAAATTGGACGTACATGACTTAATTTCAAAAGGATGATCATAAATACGATCTGGAAAATATTTAAAAGCAATTTCTGGATTGATCAGGGAGGATGATGCACCAGTATCGATTAAGATGATAAGATTAAACTGAGAACAAAAAATATACGGAAGATGAGTTTTTTGATAATTATTTATATCTAAGTCAAATTTTGAGACTGGCTCGTCGAAGGAAAATTTTCATCGTCAATAATTTCAGAATAAGATTCATCGGGGATATAGTCTGAATCGAAATCTTGGGTATATTCCTCAGATTCATATTGTGGCGTTCCTGCAAAAGTTTGTTCTTCCTCATTTTCAAGATGAGTAATTTCTTCGACATAATAATGGTTTGGTTTGGGACCTACTTGAAAGGCATTAACTCTAGTGGGCATTTGTTGACGATATGGGTTTTGTTGGGGTTTCGGTGTGCGTGCTGTAGATACAGACATAGGTATAGGATTACTTTTTTGTTGGCCTGGAATGGGTTTTTTGGAAGAAACATTCTGTGGTGGTCTGAAAGCTTGAATGTTCGTAGGGTAATGAGGTTTAAAATTTTGTTTAGGTGGTGGTAGTTGCGTGGCACCTGTAGGGAAGGTTTGTTGTGGCTCTAGCCAAGTTTGACTATTTTGGGCTCTAAACTGATTGGGCTTTTGAGAAAAATTAAAATTAGACCTTTGGAAATTTTGATTTGAAGCTTGTACTTTATTCTGAGACTGAGGCTGTTGTCGTTTATATAGGCTCGTTCTTAAGAAATTTTTGTAATCAACTTGCATTTGCAAATTATCATAATCACGACAATATTGAACACAAGAATCAATTGTAGTAGGATTTTGCTGTCTTACATAAGACCTATATGGTTCATTCAAACCAGAGATAAAGGAGCTCAAAGTCTGTCTATCATAGTATCTCAATTTAAAAGCGATATGATCGGGATTATCATGGTATTCTAAATTTGCAAATTCTTTCAGGCCCTGTACCTTAAATTTAATTTCTTGATAAAAGTCTTCATATTTTTGGTTAGGTTTCTGAACTGACGTATATATGGCGGTGAGAAGAGTTTCTTCATTTCTAGGATCTTTATATTTGGATAATAATAATGATTTTAAATCTGGTCAGGTTCTCGGACTAGTTAGATGCACTAAATCTCTTACTTCGCTTTTTAGCTGAGAAATAACGTATTGGAAAGCATACGAAACAAAAGGTGTATTAAAAAATTCTGCAATAAACTTTTCTGAATTATCCAAAAAATAAATTAGATCTCTGTGACCTCCATGATATTCTGGTACCATATATTTAGCTACATTGAATTTAATCTGTAAATCTTGAAGAGACATGGTTGACTGATTAAAATTAAGACGTGAGGGTGTCAAAATAACTTGTCTAACAGGTGTATTTTCGACTACAGATTCAAATTCAGAATCGGACATTAAATATATGCAATTAATGTCACTAAATAAGTTTACTTATAGATAGCTTTTACGAGTATATATAAATGTAAAGCAATAGAGGGCGCAAAAGTTTCGAGAAATAAATGGAAAAATCACTGAGTACAGCAAAAATTGTAAATGTTGTTTCTTACGCTACACTGGGCACTAGCAGCTTCATTTGGAGAGATCTGAGATTCATCCTTGGGCCAATACAGCTCCTCCTGGTTGACAGCTTGCCTGCCGTGGATCCAGCACCTCGCTCCTGTCAGTTCCTGTCGTTTTCTCAAGTGTCGTTGCCTGCTCCCAAAATACTTAGCAAGTATTTCGGCCTGGTACTTCGATGGTGATGTGCCTGCTCGGTGTAGCCTTCGAAGTTCTTTGTGATCGACGTCAAAACGATTGAAATCGTACCCGAACACACCGGACGATTTTTGGCACTTTTTCGGTCTCGATTGAGCGATACTCGTGAATCAATACCGCCGATTATCGATTCGGTACGCCGATATCCTGTTCGCAGCGCCAATTAAGAATGTGCAAACAACCAACGACTTTTTAATTTAAAAAAGCGACTTTATTTAACAGAAGACGAGTGAGTACTGGTCACATTGGTTTACATGCATCTCTCACTTATAACCTACGCTAGAACAAAGGAATCGAAAAGTGCAAACCTAAGCAACTCTACATATTAGATCATCATCATAGCAGTGCCGTAATTCACATAAACGGTTAGTACCTATTAGCAAATGGATCGTAGACGTGTTATCGCAATGATGATATTATATAGACGCTTAAAAAGAAAAAAGAGAAATAGATATAAGTGGGTTCATCCTATAAATATGCAAAGAAAAACGTTTGGAGCATTTTATGTACTTTTCGGGCAGCTTAGAGAAGACGAAAAAAAGTTCTATAACTATTTCAGGATGTC